GTATATTGTATAACCGTAGAACCCCATATTAAGATTTTATATTCCGCATTTTCTCAAGTAATTGTTGTTGTTGTTTTTACTTGCATGCATTATTACGAATTGCCTTATAAAGGTGTCAAAAGATAATATTATTTAATTACAGGTAATATACACTTTCGAAGATTCACAAAATCGAAAGAAAAAAATTATAAGCAATTTATTTTGCTATTGTTATAAAAATTTATAGTTTTTCTTCTTGCTGTTCACAAAACTAATATCACAACTAACACTTTATAATAGTAATCAACAATGGCTGCAACAAATACATACATATTCTGGTACTTCTTTCATAGTACATTGTATGTAAAAGTATGCAAGTTGTGTAAAAAGCCACAATTGTAAACTCAGCGGAAAAAATACATATTGTAAGATTAAGGACTGGGACCAGTAGATCTTACATATGTATAAGACTATAAAAAAACTTTAAAGAGATCTATGTTTCAGTGTTAAAACCAGTCTTTATAAAAATTTCATAAAGCTAAAGTAGGACTCTAGTGTTAAAACCTCTGATTAGAGCTAAAATTGAAGTGTATAAAGATATATAGAGGAAAGTTAAATAGAACTGTTTTATGATACTAAAAAAGCTAAATACTTTAGTTTGGAGCTAAACTAGAACTATATCAAAATGTTCATAAAATTCCTAACAATTCACCTAATCCCACCCCTCACTAAATAGCAGAAGAAACAATTTGAAATAGATTTCAAAGCAGGTTAATAATTCATAATAAACGCAATCACTTAACAAAAGATGAGAAAAAAAATACAACATATAACAAACAGTAAAAAGATATGCCAGATATTGCATCAGAATGCAAAAATCATTAAACATAAACTCAGCACAGGCAAAACCATATAATCATAATGATGATCTAAAAAAAATGAATGGGATTAAGTAACATTTTGTGCTTTCTTTCTTTCCTTTTTCTCATATTACAACTGCAGTAGTATTATTTTTTTGATGGATAAATCTTTAAACTCAATCAAGCGCTACTTAAATGCATAACTCTGTCTCTGTGGCTGCTCTAAACACTAACACACTGACAAAAACATTACGCTGTAAACTACTTAAAGTGTCTAGTTTGTTAAATAGAGATGAAAAAGTCTAGAAGAAAGTTAAAAAAGTAAAGATTGCAAAAGAAATAAAGAAGCCAAAGCAAAACACATATACAAACATAATAATCAGCATACTAGATAGTTAGTAACTTGCATTAAACAAAATATGCAATGAAAAATACTAAAACGTAACAAGATTATAATGGTACACAAACAGATACACACACACACACAATGCCTTAACAGCCTTAGCCCCAGCAGCCTCTCCATTACTTAAGAGTTTATGTTCAAGAACCAGCTTAGTTTTGTATATAAAAAAACTGATTTTGAAAAAATACACAAAAAGAAAACCATAATAAACATAACGGATCATAAATCTATAGTCGTTGTAGTAAAAAGTTTAGTTTTCCTACTACCAGTTCAAAAGTGTGCAACAACCAACCCAACCCAATTCAATTCTATTCATTTCAATTCATACTTTTTTTGTCTGTCTGCTATTTTTTGTGTTCTTTTTTTAGTCTCCTCTAAAATATTCTAATACTTTGAGAAAAGAATATTTAACAAAAGAGAGGGGAAATGTTGCAATAGTTTTTTTTTCGTAAGAAAAACTAAACCAAGCATGAGCTTTTTAGCAACATAACGGCTATAGCACCTGGTTTATTGATGTAATAATGCTGCAACAGCTCAACATATAATGTATGTCGACTAGAATAATTATACCCTACACCACTTTAGTGGGGAGAGTATATTGGGTTTGTGTTGATGTTTTTAACGCACAATAATATTGGTCCTACACCCACCCTTAAAGTATATTTTCTGAGTCGATTTAGCTATGTCCGTCCTTCCGTCCATGTAAACCTTGTAATCAAACTTCAGGTGGCAATTTTGAAGATAGTTCAATAAAATTTGGCACATGATTTTCTATGGGACCGGAGACAAAGTCTTTTGAAACATCGGTCCATTATCTCACCTAGCCCCCATAAACCGAACCCCCGAATGGGTCTTGTAAACCTTGTAATCAAACTACAGGTCGCAATTTTGAAGATAATTTAATGAAATTTGGCACATGATCTTCTATGGTACCGGAGACGAAGCCTAATGAAAATAGTTAACATCGGTCTATTATCTCACCTAGCCCCCCTACAACTGAAACCCCGAATAGGGCTTGTAAACCTTGTAATCAAACTACAGGTCGCAATTTTGAAGATAATTCAATGAAATTTGACACATGATCTTATATGGTACCGGAGACGAAGCTTATTCAAAATGGTTAACGTCGGTCCATTATTTCATCTAGCCCCCATAACCTTGTAATCAAACTACAGGTGGCAATTTTAAAGATAATTTAATGAAATTTGGCACATGATCTTCCATGGTACCATAGACGAAGCTTATTGAAATATCGGTCCATTATTTGATCGCTGATTTTATTCAACAATAAATGGCTTAAGTACAATTCAAGGCAAGGTACATTTCCACTTAAATGCATTTATTATGAAAACTAAATCACATTTTATTTTTGTAGCAGATGTAGGGTATTATGTGGTCGGTCTCGCCCGACTATAATTTCTTACTTGTTCTTTTATTTTTGCATTCTCATACAAACCACATTATAACGCATTTTGGTGATGTTGCATTTTGTTGCTATAATTAGATTGTTGTCGAAAATGTTGATTTTATTTAAACTAACAAATGGACATAAATCATGCAAATGATATAAATTTTATATTTTAATATAAAATTTTTTAGCTCTTATGTGTCTTATAAATATGCAGTTATTCTGAAAAATATACATATATATATGAAACACCCTTCAAAAATGTTTTAAAATTGTGAACGTACGGAACGTATCCTCATTAAGAAACCCTACAAAATCCCTCACTTTTGTTTGCTTAATAACCTAATAGTGTTTCTTTGTAAGTAATTCCCCCTACAGTAATTCTACATTTTCTAGACTTCAGTAATGGGAATTTTCTCTGCAAAGAGCATGGATTCTTGGATTCTGCTGGATCAAATTTTGTAATAAATATTTCAAATTCAATTTGTCAAAGGTAAAGGACTCATTTCTGAGGCACAGTGATAAACTGATCATACTGGACAAAACGACATTGATTCGGTCAATAGCTCAGGAATTAAAAGGATAAGCTTTTCGGAAAGGGAGAACTATTAAAGATAAATAGACAAAAGGACGTACGATGATCAGGACGTTTAAGATTTTGCTAGAGAAAAACTATTGCAGTGAAGTACACTTCTACAGAACTAAACTGATCAAAATTAATGTAAACACAATGAAACTCGATTCGAGAAATATGTATAGACACAAGAACTAATGAAGGAATTTTAATGCCTGAATGTGAAAGAATACTGACCTAGAGCTCAAGTCACTTTAGACAAATACTGATCAAAACTAGAGAAAGCTTGTGAGCACGATCGGTTAAAAGACCAATGAAAACTCGATCTCATATTATGTCATAATGATAATGATCACCAATTCGGAGACTTCTAATATAAGTGAAGATCATTGTAGCAACACGGTTAAAAGACCAATGAAAACACGATCCCATAATATGTCAATATGATCATGATCACCAAATCAGAGAATCCTAAGATAAGTGAAGATCATTGTAGCAACACTAAGATGTTAAACACTAAGATGTTAATATAGGATTACCGGTTTTTCACTACGATCAAGATCCTGCTTCCATGTATGAAAACTAACTTGAGGTAAAAACACAAGAATTTTTGAGCTAGAGATCAAGTTCTTTTAAACGAAAACTGATCAAAACCAGATCAAACATGTGCATACAATAAAACACGTCTGCAGAAAATGATACAAATTTGTCAGGCGGATAGAAAAGCTTAAAGCGCAAACATTTAAAGTAAGAAAAACTGATCAGTCGAAAAGATCGATCAAAATACTGGCATTATCGAAATCTATGTCATTATTAGACGTGATCATGATCACCAAATGATAAGCTGTTGATGTAAGCCGATATTCATTTAAAGAGATCTTATGATGGATTAATAGGAGACATGATCAACACACCAAGATCAATGTTCAATATCTAAATACCAAATGTGCTGCCGATTTCATTCAATTAAATTATAATCGATTATTGTCTACAACCCAATCCAGTATAAAACGTTAAGTATCAGGTCAGAGACATACTTCTAAGGATTAAAGATAAAGAACTGAGGAAGATTGCTATCTTTAAGAGAAATAAGTCCTTCGAGAAGTTGCTTCTCCGTCTTAATTTAAAACAGCGAAACGCAATGAGTTCTCTTTTACTCTTCCTCTCACTTGTATGTACGAATGGTCTCACATGTATAAAAAACAAACAAAACAAATCCGAGAGCTAGTTTTTTACTCTCTTTCATTTATTGATTAAAAGAAGCAAGTAATTTTTTACAACCACGTCACTTTTGGAATGGCGAGGAGAGTAAGAGTTCCATTTAAATATTTTGAGGCTATGAAGGAAGGACTGAACGATTGAAGTGTAAACAAGAAAAACAAATATCAGAATTTTTCAAATACCTTCAAAAGGCACGATTAACTGACATAAACTAATTATGTTTCCCAAAAATAAAAACAAAGAGTTTTCCAAGCTATCTGAGATTAATCTTAATTATTTGATGGCCATAATCCAAGTTTCAATTCTAAAAGCTATCGAATTATTGTTAACTGATATAACTCAAATTTACAGTATATATTAAGGTAATTTTCCGCACTATTCAACATTTCAAAATAAAGAATTTTTATATATAAATAAACACGGAAATTACTTTACTAGAACTCTTTTTTTTATTTAATAAACTTAAATTATTTAAAATAATCTTAAATCATTTACAACAATATATGTATGACATCGTCTTCAAATAATCAAAAATAATTCATTTCATTTTCACTCTTAATAATACCATTGATTCATAGTTTGAGGCATAAATCCGCTATAGGTTTGAGGCAGACCATAATTGTTACCGACAGGAGCCACATAAGTGGGTACAGGAGCACTGTAGGCACCAGCCGAGCCATAAGAAGCAGCAGGAGCAGCACAAGGTACTGGAGCTAGATTAGGTTGACAACTGAACAAATAGTTTTTGGGGCAGGGAGGAGCAGGTATACTGGCAGCACCACCACCATAACCGGCAGATTTACGGAAGCGACCGAAATCAGTATTCAAAAGAGATTGAATAGATTGAGGTGTATCAGTTTCCAAGTCCAGTTTGGTTTGAGTGTTAAGATTGCTGCTGGTGGAGGTACCAGAGTTGGTGGTAGCTGTAGCGGCAGCAGCGATTAAAACGATCAAGTTAAGGCAAAGGAAAGCTTTCATGTTGATGGAGTTTTCTTTAAGATTTTTAGAACTAACTGTTTTATTTGAAGACTGAAGTGAAAGTGTTTAGTTTTGGCTGGAGTATAAGTATTTATAGCAAATATTTTTTTTATTAAACTGCAATATTTTTTATTAGTTTGTGCTTATTTTGTAATTTTTTTAAAATTAAGCTGTAATTAGCATTTTTTATTTTAGTGTATAGAAAAAGAGGTCGATTTTTTTTCAAAATGCCTAAAATTGAATTTTTTCATTATACAGCAGACAGTTTTGATACCTTCCTCAGCAGTTTTAGTTGGCAGTTTTTTAAAAGTTTAATAGACTTAAACTTGATGATTACGCAAGTTTCAAAATATTTATTGGTTTGAAGTTTTAACATTAAGAATATTTGCTTTAATTTTTTTAAAATTATTTGTATATTTATTCAGGTGTTTAAAATAACCACAATAACTCTTATTAGTTGCAGCAAAAAGGGAAGTGTTTTCTTAAGATTCTAGCATATTAACCTCCAGTTATTTTTATATTAAAACTAATAGTTTTCCAGTGATTTCCTAGCAACCATCCAACCACTGTTATTTTAACTAATGATCTAGCGGCAGTTGAGGTTCAGAAATAAATGCACAACAAAATGCAGAGAAAAAGAGAAAATCCAGAAAATGCTGGATAATATTAAAGTCAGTTAACTTTTATGAAGTTAAAAATGCAATGGAAGATCATGATGATAGTGCAGTAAACGATGATGTGCAAGATTGGATACTTCCTTTTCGAAACAACAAGCAAGCCAGCAACAAAAACAATCTTGTTGCTACAACCTGTAACTTGACAAAATAATAATGAAGATAAACTTGGAAAAAAATGAAGAAAAAAAAAATAGAAAAAATTGTCAGCATTATTTTGTTCAAAAGAAAATTTCATCATTTAATGTTTCAAGTGAAAAAGTGTGACATTACAAGCAGGTTAAGAAACCGTTTTTCTTTAAACTTTAAACGTCTCAAATAGGTTTGGAATAAAAGGTTCTTACTGGGTTTCAACGGTGGTTTGTTATTTTAGAAAATATTTATATGTAAGTGTGTATGTGTTTACTTTAGAAAATAACCAAGTGATTTTCTAAAGTAATTGTTACGGTATTTTTCTTAGGAGCTTAGTGGAACGCACGTAAGGACAGCCAGCCATCTAGTTATGGTGTAAAAAAATATGAAGTGCAATTTTTATGTTCAGAAGTTTAGAATAGTTTGAGAGAGATAAGAAAACTTAATAATCAATTATTAATGCTGAACTTTTCAGTTTAAGGAAAATCTTTGTATGAAGAAGAAACTTATTGTTGAGAAGAAATATTCTGTAGAAAAAGAGTAATTTCTTTAGAATAAACTTACTTAAGAAACAACTTTTTTATAGAAAGCTTTCTTTAGAAGAAACTTTTCTATAGAACAATTTACTCAAGAGAAACTTTCTAAAGAAAAAACTTTTCTACATAAACATTTTTTAAAAATAAACTTTTCTATAGAAACATTTTTTAAGAATAATATTTTCTATAAAAAGCTTATTTAAGAAACAACTTTTTTTATACAAAGCTTTCTTAAAAGAAAACTTTCTTTAGAAGAAACTTTTCTGTAGATAACTTTATTAAGAGGAACTTTTCTGTAGAAAAATTTACTAAAGGGAAACTTTCTAAAGAATAAACTTTTCTATAGAAAACTTTTTTTAAGAATAATATTTTCTATAAAAAGCTTATTTATGAAACAACTTTTTTATAGAAAGCTTTCTTAAGAAGAAACTTTTCTGTAGAAAACTTTATAAAGAGAAACTTTCTAAAGAAGAAACTATTCTACATAAAACTTTTTTAAGAACTTTTTTAATTTTCTTTAGAAGAAACTTTTCTGTAGAAAACATTCTCAAGAGAAACTTTCTAAAGGATAAACTTTTCTACATAAAACTTTTTTAAGAATAAACTTTTTTATAGAAAACTTTTTTAAGAAGAATATTTTCTGTAGAAACCACTTTTTATAGAAAGCTTTCTTAAAAGAAAAATTTCTTTAGTAGAAACTTTTCTGTCGAAAAATTTATTAAGAGAAGCTTTTATGTAGAAAACTTTCTAAAGAGAAACTTTTTTGTAGAAAAGTTTACTCAATAGAAACTTTCGAAAGAAGAAACTTTTCTACATAAAACTTTTTAAAGAATAAACTTTTCCATAGAAAACTTCTTTAAGAATAATCTTTTCTACAAAAAACTTATTTAAGAAGAAACTTTTCTATATCAGACTATCTTAAGAAGATACTTTTCGATATAAGGCTTTCTTAAGAGAAACTTTGTAAAGGAGAAACTTTTCTAAGAAGAATATTTTCTATAGAAGAATATTTTCTATAGAAAACTTTTTTAAAAAGAAACTTTTCTGTAGAAAGCTTACCTTAAAACTACTTTTTTATAGAAAGAAAACTTTCTTTAGAAGAAACTTTTCTGTAGAAAACTTTATTAAGAGAAACATTTCTGTAGAAAAATTTACTCAAGAAAACTTTCTAAAGAAGAAACTTTTCTACATAAAACTTTTTTAAGAATAAACTTTTCTATAGAAAACTTTTTTAAGAAGAATCTTTTCTATGGAAAAGTTTTTTTCTGTATCTTAAGAAGATACCTTTCGATATATAGCTTTCTTAAGAAGAAACTTCTATAAAAAGCTTTCTTAAGAAGACATTTTTCTATACTCTCTCTAAAGAAAGAACTGCTTTACAGAAAACTTTCTTACGGGAAAACTTTTCTATAGAAACTTACTGAAGAAGGAACTTTTTCAAAGAAAGCTTTCTTAAAAGAAACATTTTTAAGGAAAAGTTTCTTAAGAAAAACATTTCTACCAAGCATTCTTAAGAAGAAAACTTTCTATAGAAAACTTCCTTAAAAAGAAACGATTCCATAGAAATCTTACTCAAGAAGCAAGATTTTTACTGAAAGCTTTCTCAAAGGAAACATTTTTTAAGAAAATGTTTTTATGAGGAAACATTTCTATATAAAACTTTCTTAAGAAGCAACTTTTTTATAGAAAATTTACTTAAGAAGCAAAAAAAAGAAAAAAAATCTATAGAAAACATTCTTAACATCTTAAGTATAAACTTTTCGACTTCCATGAGCTTGGAAAAAATTCCTCTAGAATTTCAACCGGGAATTTTTGGTACAAAAACCCTTATTCAAACTGAACTAGTTTTCCACATACTTTTTGTTTTTGGTTTTTTGTACAAAAGCGTAACAATACATTACTTTTTTATTTAGAAAATTAATCAATACTTTTTCCAACACTATCGATTACCTGGTCCAGTCAGACCTGCTGTTCTAAACAAAAATAAATTGCTTTACAACAAAGCAGAAAAATCCAAGCAATTTATCTTAAATATACCAGTAGAGGCAAAAGAAGCATTTTCCTGGACTTCAGACTTTAGAATTAAGTGTAATAAGAGTAGCAAATACTAGAGTTTTGCTAAATTACAAATAATTTATTTTACAACACCTCGATTTTGTTTAGTTTTTAACTCAGATATTTTATTGCCCCTGTTGTTAAGGTTTTTCTTTATCTTACATCTCTTAGCAGAGTGAGTTGGCTGTATAAACATCAACAAACAACTGTGCATCTTGTTGCAAGTAAATAGATCTTGGCATCTAACTAATCATAGAAAAATGTTAAGTTTTTCTTGTTTTTTTTCTTATATTCATATTAAAAATAAAATAAAAGTAATAAAATGTTTTGCAAAACTTGTTAAACATCAGCCTTATTTTGATAACTTAATATCATGAAGAATTTTTGCTATTTTCCAGATCGAAATCTTTAATATAGTGCAAAAGACAACAACAACAGCTACAACAATTTAATATACATGTTAGCAATTTAATAACAAGACAAGTAAATTAGAAATAACCAGAATAAATAAAATTATGCTGAGGAGATAGTTCCCCTTAGATTGATAACAATTTACATTTATAGAAATTTAATATTTAAAATAAATAGTTGAGCCAACTGACATCAAACATAAAATCTTTGATAAGGAAGTGTGCAATCAACTGTGATAATGATTTGTGGCAGAGGAAAAGCAAAGACGAGTTTTCTAGAAGCAGCAAAAATAAAGTGCTGGGGCTACAGAAAAGTGCTTTTATAAAGTTCAGTTCTAGTTCAGTTCTAGTTCAGTTCTAGTTTAGTTCTAGTTCAGTTCTAGTTCAGTTCTAGTTCAGTTCTAGTTCAGTTCTAGTTCAGTTCTAGTTCAGTTCTAGTTCAGTTCTAGTTCAGTTCTAGTTCAGTTCTAGTTCGGTTCTAGTTCAGTTCTAGTTCAGTTCTAGTTCAGTTCTAGTTCAGTTCTAGTTCAGTTCTAGTTCAGTTCTAGTTCAGTTTTAGTTCAGTTATAGTTCAGTTCTAGTTCAGTTCTAGTTCAGTTCTAGTTCAGTTCTAATTCAGTTCTAGTTCAGTTCTGGTTCAGTTCTAGTTCAGTTCTAGTTCAGTTCTAGTTCAGTTCTAGTTCAGTTCTAGTTCAGTTCTAGTTCAGTTCTAGTTCAGTTCTAGTTCAGTTCTAGTTCAGTTCTAGTTCAGTTCTAGTTCAGTTCTAGTTCAGTTCTAGTTCAGTTCTAGTTCAGTTCTAGTTCAGTTCTAGTTCAGTTCTAGTTCAGTTCTAGTTCAGTTCTAGTTCAGTTCTAGTTCAGTTCTAGTTCAGTTCTAGTTCAGTTCTAGTTCAGTTCTAGTTCAGTTCTAGTTCAGTTCTAGTTCAGTTCTAGTTCAGTTCTAGTTCAGTTCTAGTTCAGTTCTAGTTCAGTTCTAGTTCAGTTCTAGTTCAGTTCTAGTTCAGTTCTAGTTCAGTTCTAGTTCAGTTCTAGTTCAGTTCTAGTTCAGTTCTAGTTCAGTTCTAGTTCAGTTCTAGTTCAGTTCTAGTTCAGTTCTAGTTCAGTTCTAGTTCAGTTCTAGTTCAGTTCTAGTTCAGTTCTAGTTCAGTTCTAGTTCAGTTCTAGTTCTAGAAAACTTCTTTTCTATAGAAAAG